ACACACTGACATCACCATGTGGAGTCTGCAGCCTCCAAGAGAAATACATTTACAGACATGAAGACATAAGTAAGAGCTGATAGTACACCTACCTACGAACACCCACAGGGGCCAGGCACTATCCTGGAAAGTGGGTATGTGGTCAAGCTACTTTTTCTGATTTTAAGAAATAAATAAATATAATAATAATAATAATAATAATAAATAGCAACAATCTCTCCTGCCCCTCTGTCCCTATAGCCAATTCAGAAAACTATAAAAATGTTTACGAGTCTCTTAACCCCACTCACAGAGGTTAAGTAAGTTGCTCAGGGTCACACAGCTAGCACACAAATAAACATCCTGGGAAGTATTTGGTTAAGGATTAGGGAAGACTGCCTGGGAATGGAGGAGGTAGTGGGCAAAGCAAAGCTGAGCCTGGAGGATGGAACATCTGGCTGCATGTACAGGGAAGTGAGGGCAATAATCTCCCCCCCCCCCAAACTCAGGGAAGCAAGTCTGGACACTCCCACATCTGTCTGATCCCTCCATTCTATAGTAGACCTTTCAAGATTTCCAATCAGAAACACCTCTAAGTCTGTTCTTCTCCAGTCTACCCCAGCTGGCCCAACCATTCTTCACAGGATTTATACACTGCCCCCACCCCCACATCTTCTACTTGGCTGCCCTCCTGCATAGTCCAGCTATGGAGGGGGCCGTAGGCATAGTTTGAGCCACACAGAAGACAAAAGAAATGCCACCTCCCCTTTCCTAAGTACTGAATTGCCTAATGGGCCCCAAGATCAGTTAGTAAGTATTAATCTGAAACCTCACAGGCTCCCAACACTCCCAATTCAAGTGAATCATCCCTACTGTGGCCCATAGCTGATAGTTCCAGGCCTAAGATGAGACACTCATTTACTCTTTCGGACTTAATCCATGCTTGGTGCTGGCTGTCCCCCAGCATCATAGCTTCTGCAGAAGCAAGGCTGGAACTGTGTGTGTCTTCCACACAATGTATCTAATGCCACAGAGCTATGGACTCTAGATAAAATGGTACATGTGCTACTATATGCATTTTATCACAAATTTAAGCCAAGTTATTGGTGGAATCTCTGGAGCCACCTCCTCAGATGAACCTGCCCCAAGCCCAGACAGCTAGGTACCATCAAAAGGAGGAACTTCCTGCTGGTTCCAGAAGACCCTGGGAACATAACCTCTAAGAGGATTCAGAGGCCAAGTTAAACTATTGATACCAACACCACCATTGCTGTCCTGAATCCTGGACCCCTTAGGCCACCTTAAAATTCCAGCTCCAAGTCCCCAGACCAGCCTGCCTCTGTAGTTCAGGAGCTGCACTTCCTGTCTACCCAGCTTTTAAAATGTCTTTCTCACCAACCATTCAGTTTTAAATCCCAACAATTTGGCTCTTGTCATTCCCTACTTACCCACCTCCACACAGAGCAAATTACCCCTGCCAGTCACCAGTCACCTCCTAAGTGTGAAGGCCAGTGAGCACTTTCCTTTCTGTCTCTCTTGAGCAGCCTTTGACACCATTGTGTTGAGCCTCTCCATGTTGGGCCCACAAATCCATTCCCTGGACTCTATTCCTACCTCTCTAGGTGCTACTTCCCCTTCCCCACTCCTGGACGCTTCCAAGCTGCCAGCCTGGTTCTGATGCTGCTCATGTTACTTCTGCACAGCTAACCTGCTTAACAACTCATCTTCTCTGAGGATAAGCCAAAACAACCACCACAAGCCCACCACTGTCAAGCCCTAGCCCTTTTATGGACAGAGAGATCTATTGTCCTTCTCTGCCAGTCCTAAACGTCTGCTTTTTACCCCAGACCACTCAAATGCACACAAGCATTTACTCAGCCTCACCTGTTAAGTAGGAGTACAAGACTCCCTGCTACTTCTCTAGATTCAGAGTCTAAGGAAATCACCAAATGATTTCACCAAGCAGAGCTCCTTTCCCATCTCTGCTGCTACTCTGGCTGGCCTCCCACAGTTTAAGCTCAGCAAGAACCTCCTAATTGGGCAGCTGTCTATGGCCTCCTCAAACCCACCATTAACTTTCCGGAGTGTGTGTGGGGGATCTCCTAGGAAAGTACCCCCCACCCTGTGCACACACTCCGGGCTCGCAGAGCCCTGCTCTGCCACAGGATCAATTCCAAACTTCTAACCATGGTCTCCTGTCTTCCTGATTCATTCTTCCTCTGTCCCACTTCATACAATCTTCCAATGGTATCAAGAGGACCACTTTGACTGAAACTTGCCCTCCCCTACTTCTGCTCCTGAGCCCTCTTCCCACCCGCCTTCCCTCTTGGGATACTGATCTCCTCTCCTGCAAACCACAGTCACCAGTCTCCATGGTCTTTGTTAAGATTCAGCTCAAGGTTTATTTTCCTGGGAAGACCCTTCATGGATTGGGGGCGGGTGCCTGGCCCGTGCTTCCTCCTTGGCACCCATACCTGCTTCTAGAACTTGCCTGTGTTCTGCATGCACTACCCTACAGTTTGCTCAAGAATGTCCTCGTGGGCTACTTCCTCAACAGAGCTAGCAGGAATCAAGGCCTACTGGAGGCCCTGAAAGAAAAAAAAACTAAACAAAAACAATGAAACAAACAAAAAACTGTTGAGAACTTGGATGATGAACAAGGGGAACCGAACCATCTGAAATACCCCAGTACTCACCAACCCCTCCCTCTCAACTAGAGCATGGCACACAATAGGTGTTCAGTAAAGGTTGGTTGGATTCTATTTACTGAACTGACACAAGATTTGGGGCAGTTTGAAGTATGCTGGCAGAGAAGGAAAAGCGCCAGAAGGGGAAGCCCGGGAAGCACTGCAGTGGGGGAAGGAGGGCCAAGGGGTTGTGTGAAAGGGAGGTGAGGGAACTTGGAATCAAGTCCCGTGTCTGTGCGCCCGGGGCAGAGGCAGGCGGCCGGGCTAGCCTTCCTTCTGCTCCGCCAGCGCCCAGTCCTTCCGGCTCCCTAGGGTGGCGAGACCCCCCGGCTCGCGCGCTCGGCTCCGGGCGCTGGGAGGCGTGTGTGTCGCTTTAAAAGCTCCCTCCCGGCGCGCGGGGCCGGCCCCTTCCCTGGCAGCGCCGAGACGAGCGGAGCCGCGCGAGCCCGGCGGCCTTTGAGGGAGCCAGCGCCCGCCCGGGCGGCCAGTCCGGCGGGGCGCGGCGGCGCTAGGGGGAAGCCGGCCAGGCCCGCGGAGCCGGGCGGGCAGCGCAGGGCAGGGCGAGGGCGAAGCAGCCAGGGAGAGAGGCCCGAGCCTCCCCGGTGCCTCCTTTGCTCCACTGGCAGCTACCCGGCGCCCGGGGCCGCGAGGCGCGGAGCCGTGAGCGAGCGCGCAGGAGGCGGTGGAGCTTAGCGGAGGCTGCGCGCCCCGTGTGCCCGACCGGGCCCGCCGCGCCTCCTCCATCGCCTTCCTGGCGCTTCGCTGGCCCCCTATGCTCTCCTTTGCTGCTTCTGCTTAGCCCCGCCGTGCCGAGGCCCCCAGACCTCGTGCGCTCATCTCAGCTGTGCTGGAAACCGGGTCCCCCCAGGCCACTGCCGCCGCCCCTCCCCCGGGACTCGAAGGAATCCGGACTTTTCCCCACCGTGGATCGAGCCGCTTGCCCGACTAGGCTAAGCGGAATCTGCGGTCGCTCCGGACGCCGCCCGAGCCGGAGCTCGGATATTCTGGGTCCCGGCTGAGTGCACTCCGGACGCCTGGCGGTGCCAGCTCGGGAAGGGCGAGGCAAGCCAGGGTCAGGGCAGACCCCGGAGGGACCCAAACCCGCCGAACTGGACTGGACAGAGAGAATCGCGAACCCTGCGGAGCCCGGGGAATGCCGGGCGTGGGTTGAGGGGATCCCGGTGCCCTCCCCAGCCCTCCGACTTTGGTTCAGTCGCCCGGACCGGACGGTCGTTGCCTCGGCCCGGGTCACCTGTGGCCTCGGGGACCCCGAGTCCTCCGGACCCTCACGACCCAGAGCCTGGCGAGCGTGGTGGGTTTTTCCGGCCCCCTTCCCTGGAGCGCGGAGGCCCCGCCCCCTCCCACCGCCCAGATGTCTCCGGTCACTGCTCGGAGGACCTTCCTGAGGCCAGGAGCCGAAGGGTCCAGAGAGAGAAGCCCGCCCTAGGGGAGCCTTGGGGGCCCCCCAACCTCGTCTTGGGGCTTGGCCCCCGACGCTGCTTGGAGGAAAGGCCGGTGTCCCCCCCCCCCCCACACACACACCTTCTGTGAGTAGGGGAGTCCAGCTTCGGAGGGAAGGCGGGGCTGGGGAAGGAAGGGTCCGCTGGGGAAGAGGGCACCATGTGGGCATTGGAAGAAGGATGGAGGACTGGAGAGGCCCTGTACTGAACCAGTCTGGCCAAGCTTGGTTGGTGGCATAGGGATGGGGGGGGGGAGCACGACCACAGCTAGATTGCCCCAGAGGAGGTTGAGGACTTATGCCTCTAAACCAGGGGCTCCTCCACTCTCCCTGTAGAAGAGGGGTGTGCTGAAAACCATCTGCCTCCGCCACAAACACCCCTCCCCACAAAAATAAATAAATAAATAAATAAATAATCTCCAGCGAGGAAGGAGGGTGCAGGCAGGCAGAAGAGGGAGGCGGCAGCAGCAGGCTGGTGCAGCAGCCTGGGAGGGCTGACGCCAGGCTCGCTCTTTCTGCAGGGGGCTGCCCTCCTCCAATACAGGTCCCTCTCCAGCGCTGTTCACATCTGGAGCCCCCCTCCACATCTGGAAGACCCTGACCGCCATCCCTCTGCAGGTTCGGCTGCATCTAGAGACCTCTGCCTTTGTAACTGCCTAGGAGTTGCGAGGGGATTGCTACCTTCTCCCATCCCAAGGGCATCTCTTACCCTTAGTCCTTGAAGAATCATCCCCCTGCCTCCACACCCAGATTCAGGCAAAGATTAGCTCTGTACACCACAGGCACTTCCAGTCCTGGAAGCTGTTCTTGGGCCCTAAGGCCCCTCCCCTTGCCCTCCCGTGTCCTCACCTTGACCCCCTCCCCACCTCCCACCCTGCCCCGCGCCCGGTCAGACTTTGTCTTCCTCTGGGTGCTTCATCCCCCACCCAGAGGCAGAGTAGGTCGAGTGGCAGGCTGCAGGGACTGGGTGAGGGCCGCCCAAGGCCAGGGTAGGCTGGGGGGCCGTTAAAATGTGGAGCTCTGCCCGGCCGACGGGGGCTCCGTGGAGGCTGGCAAAGCGTGTGCCCCGCTGGGGCGAGTATGGGCAGGCTTGCGGCCACGTGGTGAAGGATGAACATTCGGGGTGCCCCGGACCTCGGGCAGCCCAGTGACGACCCCAACAGTGGTGGAGAGAGAGAGCGGATTCGACAGCGCATGAAGATGGTCATTGGGCAACTTGAAGGCATCCTGAGGGAACTCAAAGAAGTGGCTAAGGAGCTGAGGGAGGTGAGTGAGAGGCGAACAAGGGCCACACAGACCCAAAACCCTGCCTGACTGGGCTCAGCACCAAAACATTTATGTATGTTTGAGTGTGCACATGGCTCATTCCACAGAAGACCACCCTTTGAATTCTCCTTTCCTCAAGTCTGTTTTTCTTTAAGGGGAAAAAAAATCACCATCCCCAGAGCTGGTGGGGCCTTGATGTGGTGGTACCAGCGGGCCCAGGGTGCACTCAGGGTGCCCAATGGGACCCTTTCTTCTGAAACCCTAGCTGTCCCTTGACCCCACTACTATTTACTCTCAGACTCTGAGCAAGGACTCTAGGAGAGAGTGCATGCCTCTAACTAGTCAATCCCCACAGCTTGAGGCCCAACTCAAAAAGTATTACTTCAGGGATCGCATGGTTACTCCAAACCCTTAAGGGGAGAAGGGTTAAAACTAGTTGTGACCTCCCCATCATAGAGTAAGAATGACTGGGAGCTGTTGGTGGGGATCAGAGACCCTTTCTATACACTGAAGGGGAGATAAGTCTTTTTATGGGTATGTGTCCCCTCTCACAGGACATGTTTCTGGACTGTTTTTTTTTTTTTTTTTTTTTTTTGCAAAGACCAAAAAGTCACCGAGAAACCCTTTCTGGCTTTCTATTCAGAGCCCAGTTTAATTACTCCTTCCCACATTGCTGGAGTAATGAGGTACACATGTCTTCCACCCTGCCCCCTGGGCTGTATTCAAGTCCAAAATGCATGACCAGCGTTCTGAGCCACTGGCCTGAATTTGCCCACTGGGTCCCATTTCACCAGCCAGGTGGGCTTTAGGTAACTTTCAATTCCTTGTAACCAGGGCCCTGCAGAGACATAGAGAGAATGGATCATTCTGAGTTATGAACTCAAGCTCCCCTCCCAGCTGTGTATGGGGGAGAAGGGGCTGTAGGAAACTGAGGAGATAGGGCAGGCTATGAGCAATGTGGCTTTCCAACATGGCCTGAATTCAAGACAGGGAGAGGGGTTGTTTGAAGGGAGGTGTGAGTTGGAGGATGACAGAGGTAACAGGCCTGTTAGGGTAATGCAGCTGGGGATCCAAGGTCTGTTCCATGATACCTGCCAGGAGAGCCTGTCTCTAGAGGTAGGAGTGACTGATGCTTCAGGCAAGCGGAGGTGGTGGTGTTCCTGCCCACATCCCTGGCTGCTGTGGTCTGGACTCCATAATACAATGTGGGAGCCAAAGGCCACAGGTCCCTGGACAACCCTTCCTCTGATCTCATGAGTCCAAAGAATTAAGGTATCCTCTTCTACCCTGCCTTATTCTGAACACTCTGGTTTTATCAGGGCCTTGAGAACTGTCCAAAGTTTCAGTCTCAAGCAAGGACATGGGACCCCAACCAGAGCTGGTATTGTCTATAATCCTGGGATTATAGACCCCAGTGGAGCAGACTCCTGCCTCTTCTTCCTCAGCATAATCATTTATAACTTACTTGAAGGGATTTCACAGGTAGTCCAGGCAAGCTCTGTCCAGTTACTATTGAAGAAACTGGGATCCAGAGAGGCTTGCCCAAGGCTACACAACCCACCCATGACAGAATTGAGCCTGGAATTCAAGATTCTTGATGCCAATTTGAAGCTTCAGCAGGTGGGCTATTGTGTAACCTCAGTATTTTGACAAGAGCTTCCTAGAGATAGTTGATGCTTGTGATGTGGTATCCAAGTGCCAGAGTTAATTTGTGGAGCTTTTAAATGTCCCCACCTTCCCTTTCATAATCACTGACTCCCGTGCCCCTCACTACAGAGCTCCAGGTGATAGTCTGTACACACCAGAGGTCTGAACCAGGATAGAGCAATGAGTCCCCTCCCCCACACCTATAGGCCATGTATCTCCACCCAAGACTTTGGCAGGTTGCTATGGAAACCAGAGTCTACCCCGTATGCCACTGCCTGTCCGCTGCCAATGGTACCCAGCTGGGTGGGGGGTTGAGCCTCAGAGCTCCCTAGTCCCCCAGAAAGGTGAGGTATATATATGGTAATGGGCAGAGAGGAAGGGAAATTCAAGCAAAAGAGCTGTCATAACCAACTTCATGTGGGCTGGGGTTTGTTGGGGACAGGAGTACTGTGGGTCTCAGGTCCTGGTTTCAAACTTCTGATGTAGCTCTAGGTCCTTCGGGAGGACATAAAGCTGATCTGTCTGTCTCCATTCAGGCCCTCTGTGGTGTTTATCAGGGCTATAGGTGGACCCATGGTTAAGTGAACAAGCCCCTATTCCCTCACTACCTGACTCCCTGGGCAGCACCTACTCATATTCACCAGCTCAGACCAAATATTGAGTATGGAGACAAGGGTTACCTGATGGGTTGGCAGGGGTACTGAACAGGAACCTTGTTGAAAGAGCCAGGCAGAAAAAAGCAGTCTGTGTCATTCTCCTCCATCCTCCCTTCACCATCCTGCTGTCTGTACCTCCTTTCCCCTGCCTGGCACCTCTGACCCTGGAAGATAGCCCCAAGCACACGCATGGATGCACATGCACGCGCGCGCACACGCATGCACACACACACACACACACACACACACACACACACACCCTACCTGAGCCTGAGCACAAAGCCTGAAACTAACCAAAAGATGAAAGCCACCAAAGCCTTTTCTCTGAGCCTCTGTTTGCTCCTCTCTGAATGGACTACTAATGACTTGTCCCTCCCAGTGATGCTGCAAGGTTGTTGGAGGCTTAGCTTGAAGGGGAAGGCCAATACCTACCTGCTCACATTTCAAGAATGTGAGCATTCTTCCAACCCCCCAAGCACTTTGAAAGCTGAAACTGACCTGCCCAGAGATGTGACATGACAGACATTAATTAGCCCTCAATTAGCTCTCCCAGGTTCCTCAATACTCCAGGATGCCAGGCTAATCCCTACAGGCTCCCTGGATCTCAGTCAGAAACACAGGCCATCCCAAGGGAAAAAGAGCACATGCCAGGCAGCCAGAGATTCCTGATTCAGTTCTTAGTACAGTTGCCTCCTGAGCTGTGTGAACTTAGAAAAGTTACTTTGCTTCTCTGTGCTTCTGTTGGCCCATCTGTAAAGAGGAAAATACCAGCTCATTCTATGCTCCCTCATATATACAGAGCCAGGTCCATATCCTTTTTGCTTTGTTTTTGGTTTGCAGTGTTAGGTATCAAACGTCCTAATACATGGGAGGCAAATGTTCTCCCACAGAGCTAGGGTTCAGCCACCATGAGGTATTGTTACTGACTGAGTCTAGCACTTCCCTGCAAAGCCTTGTTTTCTAGAGTCATATGAGCTTTTTAGCCAAAAGCAGGTAGGTCAAGGCCAGGTCCTGGCTGCCTGGTAGGGACCTCTAATAGGTTATCACCTGCAAAAGGTAGCCCTATTCTCTACCCAATGAGGAAAGGAGAGAGACAGTGACAGGGATGGAGGTACTACAAGGGCTTATATAAAGTAGTTTTTAAGCAGATATGCATAGAAATGAGGGACAAGGTCAGCAGACATCTAGGGGAAGAGCATTGCAGGTGGTGGGAGCTGTGACACCAGGGTCTTGAGGAGGGAGTGTGCCCAACCATCAGAAAGTCAGTGGAAAGTGAAGCAGAGAGGGGCAGGGGTCTGTGGTGGGGCATGGAGCCTGTGCATCAGAAAGTAGAACTCAAGTTTGCTGTCAGTGAGAAGTCCACACACTTTTAATATATTTTGGTTATATTCCTGGGCACTCTGCCTTACTACTGATCCCCCTGCTGCCCACAGACTCAGCTCCGCAGGCATGGTGAGGGAGTCTTCATCCTTGGCCCGTCAGATTTTGAGTTCACCTCGTTTCTTCCTGACCCATGGGGGTTCAAAATGATCCTTACTGATCACCTGTACCCCTATATCATCAGTGAGTCTTGAGCTGGATCTAACCTAAGGGTGCTGTCACCTCTGTGTCCCAAGAACGGGGTAGGCACAGCCTCTCCTTGGCCTGAGGTGGCAGTGGAGGGCCATACCACCTGGTTTACATAGGAAGCAGGCTCTGTGGCAGCCTGTTTGCCAGCTGTCCATCGGCCAGGTGCCATTACGGTGGGCAGGGAAAGCTGCAGACCTTGCTAGTTAGAAATAAATAAATGTGGCCTACCAGAAAGTAGCTGGAGCAGGAAAAACCGGGGACCACAGAGCTGCATCAAAGTGGGTCATCTCAGTACTCACAGCTCAGTACAACTTGGATGGATTTTTTTCTTATTATTTTTTTCATGCTTTCCTTTCCTCCCCTTTTCCTTTGCCTTCTCCTCCTCCGGACAGATTCACAGAGGCTCCCTAGCCAATTAGGCCAAATTGCAGGATGAGAGCCATGAATCATGGTCAGCTCACTCCCCATCTCCCCAATGCCACAGTCCCCCAGGAAGATAATAAACAATGTAATCACAGAATTAAAAAATAATCAGTGGTCATAAATAATGCAGGATCCCCAGTTATGTAACCAGCTGCCCAGGGAGCTGGGAAAGAGGGAAGGAGTGGGGACCCTGGGTCTGGGACTCTAGATCCCTCAGCACTGGCTGTTGGGCCTCAGGGGATGTGCACCCACGAATGCACACACACACACATATATGCACACATGCATGCATGGATGCACACACACAAGCATGCATGCATGCATTCATCTGAGAGGGAGTTCAGCTAGCTGTACTGGTGGTCCAGGTCTGAAACAAAGAGACCTCACAACCTTCTTTCAGATGGTCTACAGCTGTGTTTGTACAGTGGGCCAGTATCTATGGCCCAATAGTGGGTAAAACAAACCCCAACTCTGCCCTCTCTTGGGCTTAATGTCTAGTAGGGAGGCAGACATCAACCACATCACAACATGCATGCAAAAAAGTATATTGCCCTCAGCTGGGGACCAGCAGGCTTCTTCCAGGAAGTGAGGATGGATGGTGGGAGGGAGGGCATGCCAGGTGAGCCCAGTGGCAGCTGGAGCTCCAGCTCTGTAAAATGTGCAGAGAGATGAGGGGGAGGCCGTTTGCTGGAGGGGAAAGGGGGTGGTGTTTAGAAGGCTCAGAAGTTTGGGGAATGGGGAAGGGTTAGAGGCAGAGAGGTAATGTGGTCCTGATGCTGACCAGGAAATCTATTGCAGAGATGGAGCAGACACTGGCAGGAAGTTACTGTTGGTGGGCAAGGCTGAGATTAAAACAGGCTAGGGACACCCTTGGGACTGGGGCTAGGTTCTATCTCAGTCCTGCCCTCCCTCCCAAGTCCTCATTCTTGGCTCCTCTGGGACAGAGTAGTCTTGTTTGTAAGACGCCAGACCCAAGAGTCACGACTCCACTTCTGGCTTTAACTCAGCTTTTTCTGGGTGCTAGGCCTCAGTTTCCCTGTCGGCAAGTGCAGTATCACAGGTAGATTCAGCAGTGTCTCTCTAGTCCCCCCCCCCAGCTTAGAGATTTTTCTGGTTCCTTCTTCTCCCCCTCTTTCCTTCTGTGTATATAATTATTTCTCTGCACTCCAAGACAATCCCAAATTACATGTAGGCAAAATGATTATTAAATTTCAGAGAGAAATCACAGATTTCAAGACAGCCAGAGCAGAGAGACAGGTAGCACGGGCCTGTTCCACACTAGCTCTCCACTTTGACCAGGGAAGGGTTAGCGGGTTTATGAGCTGATCATGGCCCTACACAGAAGCTGGGTACTGTGGGCATGTGGCTTCCCTTTCTCACCCTCACTTCTGTCATTTGTCAAGTCATTGGGAAACCAGATCTGCTTGTGAGCCTCACAGCCATAGGCCTCATGGACCTCTCAGCCTAGTTCTGTTCTGAATGAACACACCCACACTTCAGGCAAAACAGGCAATACTGGTGCATGGGCCACGGAAGGCACACTTACCATACCCAGGCATCCTGAACAGGCATTGAAAGCTGCCCATCAGTGTGCCATTTCTTAGGTGGAAACCTGATTCCCATCTGCTCTGGGGTCTAGGTATAAGCTCATGTTCACTGGTGCAAGGTAGATGTTGTTGTTCTACACTGTTCTGCATGTGTTCCCATGGGCATTGGGTTAAGTCTTCACAGCGGCTCTCAGGCAGAGAGAATTCTGTTAGTATTCTCTGATGAAGAAACAGAAGCTGAAAGCTGAGTAACTTGATTAAGGTGGCACAGCTTGTAAGTAGTAAGAACACAGGGTTGGAGTCCAGCATTGGCTGCAGAGCCCAGGTACTGACAGGTTTGGCTGTCCTGACACTGTAGTTTAAAATATGGTGATATATCATCCATCTTCATCTCTCTGAGCAAGGAAAGGGATGTAAGAGCCAGAAACTACAACTCAGAAGTGGATTATCACCTACCTGCCTTCAATTCCACTGCCAAGAGGGGGCAGACATGAGACCTAAAGACCGCCTCTCTCTCCCTTCCACCATAGCCCAGCAGAAATAAAAGAGGATGCTAATGAAGGGAAGGGATCCAGTGAAAACAGCTGGCCAGCCAGGGATTCCTCAGTGAAAGGAGGTCTGGGTTCCCAGGCTTCTAGGCTCCTATTGGGCACACCTGGGATATCTCTGCTATCTATCCCTCAGGCCTGGGGCCTGACAGTGCTTGTTCATGCTGAGCTCCAAGAAGCAGGACTTCTCTGCTCAGCCTGGCTTCAGCTGAGTCTGCTGGATTTCAGCCAAGCCATTCAACTCCAGCTTGCTCCTGGCACCCCCCCAGCCTCAGGCTGCAGCAGCTGGTGACAGTCACCGATCAGGGAGTTCCATCTGAGCATGTGGCTGCCTTAGTGGCAGAGCCACTCCTGAGGCTACCCCAGCACCTAGGCCACCAGGCCAGTGCTTTTCAAAACAAGAGGCAGCAACTAGGAGCATCATGATCTCATGGATGTAGAGTGGAAAGCCTGGCACGCAATAGGTGATCCAAAGCATAAAATGTAACATTGAAACCGGGCTCCTCCCAACTCCCTTGATCCTTCCTGAGAAGCTCTGCTTCTGCCTTTGGCCAGGCACTTGGTGGTAAATGCTTTTGAGTTCCAGCATGCTTAGGTGACTTGCCCAAAGTCTGTCCCCCAGGTGTGCTGACTCCTCCAGTTTGCTGCAGGCCAGATCAGAGTTCTCATACTGACTCTTACGGACCCAGATGCCTAGAATCTTCCTTAGAAGTAAACTAGTTCACCCACTTAGAGATTGAGAAACAGACCTTAAGAGGAATAGGGACAGTCAGGTCACTTGCAGCTACAGCCCATCTCCCACTGACCCAGATGCTGCAGGCGGTGTCTTTTTGCTTTACCTTGGGGCACTTGCCACCCACCCCTCTCCATGCATGGAACAGCATCTCATGGTAGCAGTTCCCAGTAATGAGTATTGGGTTAGGGCTTGCTTAGTTAACTTACTGACTGACCACCCTGAGTCTAGGCAGATAATGCCAGCCAGATTCTGGAAGCTGGATACAGTTCATGATATCTTTGTCCCTGAGTCTCTGTGGCTCGGACACTTGTTCCCTCCACTGGCTTTTATTGTTTTATGTTTGAGTCTTGGCCTGACTCTGCTCTCTTCACCCTCACACTGTCCTCTCTCTAGGCCTTTGCCTAACCTGCCTCCCTCTCTTGCTGTGTTCTTCCTTGAGATATGTGCTGACAATAGCACAAGCAGGTATATATCTGCAGGCAGGGCTGCCTGCCCAGAGTCCAAGGGCTTCCCTCTGGGTGGTTGGGAGGCAGGCAGGCAGGCAGAGCAGGGTACAGTGACCTCGACAGATGAGCTGCCCCATGAGTGGCCTTACCAGTCATCCTGGGTCAGGGTGGATGGTCTCTTTATTGCTTCCCAAAGAATCATGGCTTTATTCCTTTCCCAACAAGCTGAGATTGATCTCCATTCATCAGTGGGCAGGGAAGGCAAGGAGGGAGGAGGTTCTAGAGCATGAGGGTGGAAGGGGAGGGTGACTCAGCCAGTGCCACACACCTGTTGTTCCAGTCCTCAGGGTTGGAAAGAGATCCCTGAGTGAGTCACTAACTGATGGGTCCAGGATGCTTTAGTAAGACTGGGCAGGGTCTTCTTTATGACTACCCTGTCATTTTTCCCCACTGACTTCAAGTCCAGCTACCACATTACAGCCAGCAGCTGGGAGGTGTCCAGGCTTGCTGGAGTCCTTCAATCCCTTCTATCTGACCCCCTCTCTATCAGTATAAGATTAAGCCCTGTTCACTGCCCTGTCCTCACTCCAAAGATCAGCTGTATTTGAGAGTGATGTGTGAATGGACAGGGTGCCTGGTGGAAAGTAGTACCCCTCCCTCCAGTGGACAGCATAGGCTGTCCATCCTTGTCCAACTTGGCTTTGTGTATGTTTGAGACTGAGTCTCTCACTGGCCTGGAATTTGCCAAGTAGGCTTGGCTGGCTGGCCAACAAGCCCCAGGGATCCTCCTATCTCCACTTCCCTGGGGCTAGGATTATAAGCATAGCCATGCCCAGCTTTTTTTTTTTTTTTTTTTTTTTAAATGGGTTCTAGGAATCAAACCCAAGTCCTCATGCTTGTAAGGCACGCCCTTTCCCAGCTGAACCATCTCCTCAGTCCTAATTTGGGTTCTTAACAGTGCAAACAACCCTGTGACTTCAGTTCAGCCACCATCTTTCAGAGTCACCTTCCACGAGGTCTCCAGGGCAGGGCAGAGGCACACACACAAACCTAGCCCCTCTCACCTCCTCTCCTTTCCCTGGCCAGGTGGTGACTCAGATCGACAAGCTAACCTCTGACTTTGACTTTGAGCTGGAGCCAGACGACTGGACCACGGCCACTGTGAGCAGCACCTCCAGCAGTGACAAGGCGGGTGTGGGGGGCCCCTTTGACCTGGGCCACCTGGACTTCATGACAGCTGATATCCTCTCAGACAGCTGGGAGTTCTGTTCCTTCCTGGACGTCTCTACACCATCAGACTCTGTGGATGGCCCCGAGGCACCACGGCCAGGCGCAGGCCCTGACTACCAGCTCATGAATGGTGGTATGCCCATCCCCAACGGGCCACGAGGGGAGACGCCAGACTCTTCCAGTGAAGAGGCCTTCAGTGCTGGCCCTGCAAAGGGTCAGGTACCCCAGCGGACCCCAGGGACAAGGGAGAGGGTACGGTTCAGTGACAAAGTGCTCTACCACGCTCTGTGCTGTGATGATGAAGAAGGGGACGGTGAGGAGGCAGTAGAAGAGGAAGCAGGCCTGGCCTCAGAGCTCCCCCACGTGGAACCACACACAGGCCCCCTCAAGCCCTGCCCAGCCCCCTACAAGACCAGGCGCTCTCCGTTGACCACCCGACGCTTGGGCCCCACAGTGGTCCCAGAACAGACCCGGAGGGTCACAAGGAACAGCAGCACCCAGACAGTATCAGACAAGAGCACGCAAACAGTGTTGCCCTATACGGCCACCAAACAGAAAGCCAAGGGCAAGAACTAGGGGCTGGGGGGGGGCATAGAGCTATAAATATATACATATATATTTAAACAAACACGGTCATAATAAAATTCATAAATACTAACGATCCAGGCCCACAGGCCCCAAAGCCTTCAAGAAAGCTCATCCTAACATATTCAGATGTGCAGAGTTTACCATCCCCTGCATATGGCAGGGTACCTGAAGGGAGCTGAAACTCCCACTGTAAGTCCCCAGCACCATAGAGGTCTGTCCTAGAGGAGCTCAGCAGCTGGGGGCAAGCTAAGGGAAGAGTATCCTAGGGCTCGCCTGAAAGACTAAGAACTTAGAACCCAGGGTTGGCATCACTGTGGCTAGACCCAATCCTCCTGGACAGAGCTACATGGACAGACAGCCCCACCTCACACAACACCTCCACCCTGCACCCCAAACACCAAGAAGGACACCATGCCCTGGGGCAGGCCACACTCCTAGGAGGCTGGCAGCCACAGAGCCTGTAGGACCAGGCTGGTCAGTTCTGAGAACCCAACCTGCTCTCATTCTTTCAGCTCCCATTATTAGCTCCGGGGTTCAGAATTCTCAGATCTTGGCCCTGAGCAGATTCAAGGTGTGTGGGTAGTGACAGCAGCCATCACAGTGCTGGGAACCAAGATGCTTGACCACCCATGCTAGGCAGATGGAGGGTGAGGGGGTCCCATGTCTCGTCCTTCTTTATACCCAAACCCTTAGCTCACCTTACTGAGTCCTGAATAGCAGTAGCAGGGCTTCATCTGCAGCATGATCTCCCAGCAAAAGCATCTAGACATCCTGAGGGTGATAATGTTAGTCACTATTCACAGTTATTGAGCAGGCCACTCTGCTGAATACACCATGTAACATTATCTTACTGCCCCCCACTTTTCAGATTAGAAGACTGAGGTTCACAGACATGAAGGTAACAAAGCCTCAGCTTTCCTGTCCCCGAGAACAAGTAGTTTACAGGCTATGCCTGGCCCTGTTAGATAGTAGCTGTATCACCTTGGGCAAATCCATTTGCCTCTTTGAACCTTTCTACTTCCGCTGTAAAATAGATCTGTTAGTCTTCACCACCTCAGTAGTAGTCACAGGGATCCAGCAAGTGGTGAGTGTACACATTTGAGATAAATTGGAGGTACCAAATGCCTAGTGTGGTCAGCATGAGCCAGCCCACACATCTCCAGTGATTTCCAGGGTAGAAGGGCTGGGTGGAAGCCATTTCCATGGGTCAGAAGCCATCCTGAGTCAGAAATATCACATGTCTTTGCCCCAACAAACAGCTTGAGGCCAGAAGATGGCCATAGTGTGACTCATTACCCTGTCTGGAGCAGAGGGGTAAAATTGGTAAACTGCAGAGAGCATCAGTCCTGAGGCCTTGCTGGGGCACATTTCTATTAATGCAGAACCACAACCCACCAGGAGGGGCCTTGAGATCTGCGAGCCCCCCCCCCCCCCCCGCGCCTCTACTTGGAGAGGTGCTGTGTAATCCCAGAGTGGGGACTAGCAGACTAGTCTAGAATGAATACAAAGACATGACTGGGAAATCTGGCAGACCTACAGCACCACGGGATGAGAGCTGTCCCAACTGTGGTGAGGTCACAGCACTACAAAGCCCAGTGTGGTGCAGCCACCAGAGTAGAAGTCCAGTGGTGGCCAGCTGGGGCTAGCTCAGACTAGTGGGCCAGCATGGTCCTGCTCTCCCTGAGCTGAACGGTTCCCATTCCTCCCATTCTCCCTCTGAAACTGGTTTTTCCCCTCATAAGTGGTGAGATTGTTTTTCTTATCTTTTCAACCATCATGGAGATGAAACCTAGAGAGCAATTCTCATTTCATAGGGGAAGGAACTGAGACCCAGGGCCAGGGTCTCTAAGGTCCCTGAGTTGAGGGACTTTTCCCTTCTTAAATCCCTCCTCTGACCCAGGTTCATACAACTATGTTAGGTCACAGATAACCTAAACCACTTGTGCCCAGGTAGTGTGTAGAATGAACATGTCCTGGTTTTGAAGTAGATATAGGTCCACCATGGTGAAGGCCCAGAAAGCTCTTAGCCTACTCACTCTGAAGATCCAGACCTCACAGACAGTGGGATAGGATTGCCAGGACTTCTTAAGACTTGAAACAAAGACCGCGTCCACACAGGGAGAAAAGGCATCCTAACCATCAGAGCAGACGCTCCCACCTTCAGAGCACACAAAGCCATCCTGGGACCCTCCTCTACCAGGTCAGCTATCCTCCTTCTCCTCCCTACCTCCAGGCCTCTGCTGGTGTCTGACTTTTCTCCTGGGGAGCATATCTGCTTCTGGGAAGTAAGATTTTACCTCCACCTGATGTGTGCATCTTCTCATGCTGTAGATACTCTAGAGGAAGTAGGAGGGATCTAAGCCAGCCCTTGTAACAGAGAGGAGGCTGAGCATAATAAATAGCTCCATTTAATGTGCACATACTATGCACTGGAATTGTTAAGCATGTGCCTTATCTCATTCATTCCTCACAGAAATAACAAGATATGTCATTTTAACTTGTGCCTATTTTCCATATGGGGAAACTGAGGTTCTGAGAAGTCAAGTCACTTACTAAAGGGCATACAATATGCATTAGGGAACAAGTATTCAACCCCAAACTCAGCTTCCTAGCACTCAAATATGTGCTGGTGTAAGTATTATAGACATTAGGTGGCCCAAGAACCAGGCAAGCCTTGGACGGTAAGAAATGTGTTGGAAGGAGGAAGTCCGTGAACCTTCTTTTTGGGGAGAACTACACTACTGTCAACCTGTATGTCAGAGGCTGTCTCAGCCTGAAACTGAATGGATCATAGATTGGATAAATATTTATCAAATATATCAATGAGCCCACCTTGCAGCAGGGGCATCCACTGTGCATTCATCCATTCAGCCAACATTGAAGACCTCTAGTATGGCAGATCTTATGTTGCTTGCATGTGCATGCATGCACAGACATACACATGCATAGACTTCCATGTGCACATACACATGTTCTCCCTCCCCTGTGAGACTTTAGTTTGGGATGTCTGAAAGCTGTACAGGAGAGAAGGACGAAGTTTTCAGTGCTGACAAGTCAGAAGTGTTTACTGAATCCAACCTTGACAGGATGCCGAGGGGGAAAATGTTGGAAGCCAGGGACCAGTTTGGTGAGGAAGTCACTCAGAAACATGCCTCAGGGCTGGAGGCTCCTTGAGCTGACACTACTTTCATAGGATAGGCACACTTCAGTGTCCTTGAGTGGCTGAAAATAAGGAAGATTCTTGTCTCTGTTTTCTAGATGTGGGAACAAGGGGCCAACTATGTAGCTGACGAAAGATGGTTTGATGAAACCAGGGCAAAAAAGCAGGGCACACCATTCAAAGACAAGAACAGAGTCAGGCCATGTCAGCAAGGGAAAGGACTAGGGGTGGGAATTAAAGAAGCAGCAAACCCAGCCCTCTACACCCCCTCTTGAGTCCCCTTTCTCTGTCCCCACCTCTCCTACCTCCACCTGTCACCCATGTCTCCTTCCAAAACCCAGACCTGTAAGAAAACCAGCATTTATTGACAACCAGGGGCGTGCCAGGCACCAGGCCATGTCTTTTAACCAATACTAAATAACAGATTCAGCTGGGCCCTGTACAGAACAGGTTGTTCAATACTTACTTATTGAGCAAATGGATTAACCACAACCGTCATTTTACAGGTCAGGCAGGGAAATGAATAAACAAAGCAGAGCTTTTCAGAGTTACAAAGCAGGAGTTTGTGTTACTACAGTTTGTGAAACCTATGGGAACAAGTGTTCGTGGCCCTACCTTTAGAATGTGGTTTCCCTGGGTACCTAAAAAGGGGGAAACAAGGGTCATTTGGGGAAGCTGGAACTTTAAAACAAAGATGGGTGAAGTGACCATGTGTGCTAGGTAACAGAGTAAGGTCTTATTGAAGCACAGAGTAGATGTTGAAGCAAAAATGGGGCAAAATGGAAAAGCTGAGGGGCACTCTCTGTTAGGAACTTCAGAGACCCCTAGCTCTCATCAATCCACTCCATCCTCTTGACCACGGAAGGAGGCAGAGCATTGCCTAGTCTGAGATGAGAGTCATCTTTAAGACAAGTCAATAATGTGTTATCCAGCAAACTATTGTGATAGGAATTCCTTCAATGCATAAATGAAAACATCATAGTTAGCACCTTGGTAATGTGGGTAAACTAAAGCCCTTGAAAACCACTGCATTCTATCATTCTGTCCCCCACAGGCCAGCTGGGATTTTCATGTGACCTGACCCTGCCCGCCTGCCTGCCCTGCACCTCAGCCACTATTATCATTTACCTCTCCTCCATCAGTGGTCCCCAGCAAGCAAACTGAAGTGGTGGAAAGGGTCTTGGTTGACCTCAGGCCAACACTGCTTAAGGCCCGGGCCCCAAGCTAATTGGATCTGACTCCCTGCCAGGAATACTTAAATTCACACGTGCTGGAGGCTCTGCTGTCACTCCTGTTTCTTCTGGGACTTGCAAGGGTCAGGAGTTCTGTGAAACAGGCTCACCATGTGACAGGGACTCACCAGAAGGCCTTCCTGCTGCCATCTCTGAAGTGCCATAGAAACCCAGTCTCAAGGGCTGCCCCACCTGTCTGCTCCCCAAAAGACAGGGTAGAGTGGACTCACTCTAAGGTAGAACCATGAAAGAGTTTGGAAAAAGGTCTGGGCCCTGATGCCTTTTGGTTCTTTTTCATTTCATTTTTTGAAGTTTTTATTAACATATGTTAATTATACATAATAGTGGGTTTCATTATGATATTTTATACACATAATGTATTTTGATTAATATATATATTATTATTATTATTATTATTATTATTATTATTATTACTAATCCCTCATCTTGGCCCTTCCTCCTGCTGATTCTCCTTACTCATCTCAACTAATCCTCCTTCTACTCTCATGCCTTTTTCTTTCTTTCTTCTGTGTGTGTGAGAGAGAGAGGGAGAGAGACTCGGTTTAATTAGGTATATTTATAGTAGCACAGGAAATTTACCAATGGCTACATCACTGAAAAACAAAAGAAAAAGAAAAAAACAAAACAAAGTTTCTTCCTCACCAAACATTAGCTGCT